AAAGATATGATTGAAAATATCCCAAAATTTATGGCATATATAAAACCACAGATCCAAGGAAGCTCAGAGACAGGAAGCAGGATAAAAACCAAAAATTCAACACCTAGGCATATCATACTCAAACTACAGAAAAACAAAGACAAATAGAAGATCCCGAAGTAAGAGAAAAAAACACCCTAACTATAAAGGAACAACGATAAGAATTACATTAGGCTTCTCTTTGGAAACATGAACAAGAATAAAGTGACATTTAAAAAGAAGGAAAGAAAAATGAGAAAATTATCTGCAAAAGATATATCTGATAGCTATCTGTTATTCAAAATATACAAAGACCTCTTAAAACTCAGAAGGAAGACAACCCAATTTAAAAATGTGCACAAAGGCCAGCCAACATTCTAGCAATTTGGGAGGCTAAAGCTGATGGATCATTTGAGCCCAGGAGTTTGAGATCAGCCTGGACAACACAGCAAAACCCCATCTCTACCAAAAAAAAAAAAAGAAAAAAAAATTCGCCAGGGATGGTAACGTGTGCCTGTGGTCCCAATTACTCAGGAGACTGAGGTGGGAGGAGCCAGAAGATAGAGGCTGCAGTGAGCCATCATTATGCCACTGCACTCCAGCCTGGATAAAAGAGCAAGACCTTCTCTCAATAAAAAGGAAATAATAAGTTAAAAAATAAAAATTGTGCAAAAAAGGCCGGACGCGGTGGCTCAAGCCTGTAATCCCAGCACTTTGGGAGGCCAAGGCGGGTGGATCACGAGGTCAAGAGATTGAGACCATCCTGGTCAACATGGTGAAACCCCGTCTCTACTAAAAATACAAAAAATTAGCTGGGCATGGTGGCACGTGCCTGTAGTCCCAGCTGCTTGGGAGGCTGAGGCAGGAGAATTGCCTGAACCCAGGAGGCGGAGGCTGCGGTGAGCCGAGATCGCGCCATTGCACTCCAGCCTGGGTAACAAGAGTGAAACTCTGTCTCAAAAAAAAAAAAAAAAAAAGTTGTGCAAAAGACCTGACTAGACACCGCACCAAAGGAGATATACAGATGGCAAATAAACATATGAAAAGATGCTCTATTTCATATCATTATTGAATTTTAAATTAAAACAATGAGATACTGGCTGTGCACAGCGGCTCACATCTGTAATCTCAGTCCTATGTGAGGCAGAGGCAGGCAAATCACCTGAGGTCAGGAGTTTGAGACCAGCCCGGCCAACATGGGGAGATCCCGTCTCTATTAAAAATACAAGAATTAGCCAGGCATGGTAGCGTGTGCCTATGGTCCCAGAAAATCTGGAGGCTTAGGCACGAGAATCACTTGAACCTAGGAGGCAAAGGTTGCAGTGAGCCGAAATCACACCACTGCACTCCAGCCTGGGTGATGATGTGAGACTCTGTCTCAAAAAAAAAAATAGATATTTAGCATTTGTCGGCCTTTTGGCTAAGATCAAGTGTGGAAAAACAATAAGATACTACGACACACCTCTTAGAATGGCTAAAATCCAAAACAATACCAAATACTAACAAGGATATGGTGCAATAAGAACTCTCATTCATTGCTGATGGGAATACAAAACGCTACAGCCACTTTTAAAAACACTTTGGCAGAAATGAGCTACCAGGCCATGACAACACATGGAGGAATCTTCACTACATATTGCTACGTGAAAGCCAATATGAAAAGGCTACACACTGTCAGAGGTCCACTGTACAATACCAAGTATATACAACATTCCGGAAATGGCAAAGCTATGATGGGCCAGGCACACTGGCTCATGCCTGTAATCCCAGCACTTTGGGAGGCTAAGGCAGAAGGATGGCTTGAGGCCAGTTTGAGACCAGTCTCACCAACATAGTGCCACTCCTGTCTCTACTAAAAATTAAAAAACAAAACTAGCTGGGTACGGTGACACACTCCTCTAGTCCCAGTGTCTCAGAAAGCTGAACCAGGAGGATTCCTTGAGGCTAGGAGTTCAATGCTACAATGAGCTGTGATTGCACCATTGCACTCTAGCCTGGGTGACTGAGCAGAAAAGAAAGAAAGAAAGAAAAAAAGAAAGAGAGAGAGAGAGAAAGAAAGAAAGAAAGAAAAAGAAAAGAAAGAAACAAAGAAAGAAAGAAAGAAACAAAAGAAAGAAAGAAGAAAGAGAAAGAAAGAAAGAAAGAAAGAAAGAAAGAAAGAAAAAGAAAGAAAGAAAGAAAAAGAAAGAAAGAAAGAAAGAAAGAAAGAGAGAGAGAAAGAAAGAAAGAGAGAGAAAGAAAGAAAGAAAGAGCCGGGCGCGGTGGCTCAAGCCTGTAATCCCAGCACTGTGGGAGGCCGAGGCGGGTGGCTCACGAGGTCAAGAGATCGAGACCATCCTGGTCAACAAGGTGAAACCCCATCTCTACTAAAAATACAAAAAATTAGCTGGGCATGGTGGCGTGTGCCTGTAATCCCAGCTACTCAGGAGGCTGAGGCAGGAGAATTGCCTGAACCCAGGAGGCAGAGGTTGCGGTGAGCCGAGATCGCGCCATTGCACTCCAGCCTGGGTAACAAGAGCGAAACTCCGTCTCAAAAAAAAAAAAAAAAAGAAAGAAAGAAAGAAAGGAAAAGAAAAGAAAGAAAGAAGAAAGAAAAGAAAGAAAGAAAGAAAAGAAAAGGAAAGAAAGAAGGAAAGAAAGAAAGAAAAAGAAAGAAAGAGGGAAAAGAAAGAAAGGGCAAAGCTATGGCAACAATAAAAGATCTATGGTTTCCAGTGTATGGGCTTCGGGGGAGGGAAGCATCAGTGGAACACAAGGGATTTTTAAGGTAGTGAAACTATTCTGTATGATACTATGTTATACACACGTCATTTTACATTTGTCAAAACCATAGAATGTAGAACACAAACAATAAAACCTAATATGAACTACAGAGTTTAGTTAATAATAATGTATCCGCTGGGTGTAGAGGCTCACACCTGTAATCCCAGCACTCAGGGAGCCTGAGGTGGGAAGATGGCTTGAGCCCAGAAGTTTGGCCAGCCTGGGAAACATGGTGAGACCACATCTCTGTAAAAAAATAATAAAATAAGGCCAGGCACAGTGGCTCACACCTGTAATCCCAACACTGGGAGGCCAAGGCAGGCGATCACCTGAGGTTAGGAGTTCAAGACCAGCCTGGCCAACATGGAAGAACTCTGTCTCTACTCAAAATACAAAATTAGCTGGGTGTGGTGGTGCATGCCTGTAATCCCAGCTACTCAGGAGGCTGAAGCAGAAGAATCACTTTAACCCGGGGGACAGAGGTTGAATTGAGCCAAGATTGCGCTAGTACACTCCAGCATGGGCAGCAAGAGCAAAACTCCATCTCAAAAATAATAATAATAATAATAATAATTAAATAGCCAGTCACTGTGGCTCACACCTATAATCCCTGCACTTTGGAAGACTGAGGTGGGTGGACTGCTTGAGCTCAGGAGTTCAATGGTTTTGAACCATGCTGGTTGCCTGAGCAACATGGTGAAACCCTGTCTCTACCAAAATTTTTTAAAAAATTAGCCGGGCGCAGAGGTGTGTGTCTGTAGTCCCAGCCACTTAGGAGGCTGAGATGAGAGGACGGTTTGAACCCGGGAGATGGAGATTGCAGTGAGCTGAGGTCATGCCACTGTACTCCAGCCTGGGTGACACAGCCAGACCCTGTCTCAAACATAAACAAATTTTTAAAAAAGAAAAAGAGGTCGGGCGCGGTGGTTCACGTCTGTAATCCCAGCACTTTGGGAGGCTGAGGCGGGTGGATCACGAGGTCAAGAGATCGAGACCATTCTCATCAACATGGTGAAACCCCATCTCTACTAAAAATACAAAAAAAAAAAAAAATTAGCTGGGCATGGTGGCGCATGCCTGTAATCCCAGCTACTCAGGAAGCTGAGGCAGGAGAATTGCCTGAACCCAGGAGGCAGAGATTGCGGTGAGCCGAGATCGTGCCATTGCACTCCAGCCTGGGTAACAAGAGCGAAACTCAGTCTCAAAAAAAAAAAAAGAAAAAGAAAAAGAGGCCAGACACAGTGGCTCACACCTGTAATCCCAGCACTTTGGGAGCCCGAGGTGGATGGATCACCCAAGGTCAGGAGTTCAAGACCAGCCTGGCCAACACGGTAAAACTATGTGTCTACTAAAAATCCAAAAACAAAATTAGCTGGTTGTGGTGATGTGCACCTGTAATCCCAGCTACTCGGGAGGCTGAGACAAGAGAATCACTCGAACCTGGGCCAGCTTGGTGGCTCACACGCCTATAATCCCAGCACTTTGGGAGGCCGAGGCAGGTGAATCACCTGAGGTCAGGAGTTCAAGACCAGTCTAGCCAACATAGTGAAACCCTGTCTTTATCTAAAAAAAAAATGAAAAAAAAAAAAGAGAGAGAGAGAATCAGTTGAACATGGGAAGCGGAGGTTGCAGTGAGCCAAAATCCTGCCACTGCACTCCAGCCTGGGTGACACGAGCGGGACTCCATCTCAAAAAATAATAATAATAATAACATATCAATATTGACTCATTTTTTTTTTTTAAAGACTATGCTGCCCAGGCTGGAGTGCAGTGGCAATTCACAGGTGTGATCATACAGCACTACAACCTTGAACTCCTCCTGGGCGCAAGTGACCCTCCTGACTTAGCCTCCACAGTAGCTGGGGTTACGGGTGAACACCACGACACCCAGCTCTGCCTCATCGATTGTAAAAAATGTAGCATGCTGATGCAAGTTAATAACAGAGGAAACTAGAGGGGGAGTGCAGCACTGTGTACATGGGAATATATGGAAACTCTATACTTTTCACTCAAGTTTTCAGTTTCAAAAAAGAGTCTATTAAAACAAAGCCAAATTGTATTCTGTACAGCTAAATATTTAGTAAGTCAGTACTAAAGGCATTGGGAGACACCGGACACTGCATGGCAATGACTGGGATGCAAGTCATCTACAGGCTCGCCACCATTTGTCCTTCCTGATAGAGAACAGACAAGAGACTTTTATAAATCCGGTCTCTTACATTGTATTCAAGCAGGTCGTTGCTACTTCTCTATTGTCAATAATCTTTTCATCATCTTCTTATTCCTGTAAGGCAAGTAGAAAAGAACTGTGAAAAATTGCTACCACATGATAAACCATTCCATACCACTCCCTTTAAAATGACCAATAAAATAAAGAATGCACTTCTGGAATTCCTGAGTTGTCTGCCCTAAAACCTAGGAATGGTGCATAAAAAGACTTTATGTAGTAAATAAAGGAAAAGTGTTGTTCACTTATTCTCAGAACTCACATTCCACGTACTGCAATGGATCTCATTTCCCTTTTTTTTTTTTTTTTGAGACAGGTTCTCATTCTGCCGTCCAGGCTGGAGTGCAGTGGCATGATCACAGTCCACTGCAGCCTCAATTTCCAGGGCTCAGGTGATCCTGCCACCTCAGCCTCAGCCTCCCTAGTAGCTAAGACCACAGGTGCCTGAAACCACACCCAGATCTGTTTTTCTTTCTTTCTTTCTTTTTTTTTTTATTGTAGAGACACGGTTTCACCATGTTTCCCAGGCTGGTCCCAAATTCCTGAGCTCAAGTAATCCACCCGCCTTGGTCCCACTAATTACTGGGATTGCAGGCGTGAGCCACCACACCCAGCTTCCTTCATTTTTATACTCTCCATTTGCCTCTCTTCATGCAGCTCCTCCCCACTCATACATGCTTATGGATTTTCATTTTTTTTTTCTTTTTTTAAAGATGGGGTTTCACCATGATGGCGAGGATGGTCTTGAACTCCTGACCTCAGGTGATCCACCCACCTCGGCCTCCCAAAGTGCTAGGATTACAGGCGTGAGCCACCGCGCCTGGCCGGATTTTCATTTTTAAAAAATTTTAAAAGAAAGAGAAAGA